AGCAAAATGCAAGGGATTGCCTCTCGCAATTGTTGTTGTATCTGGATTGATTTCAAAGATGGAGAAGACACGTGAGTTGTGGGAGCATATTGGTGAAAACATAGGTTCATATATTGATAGTGATGCAGAGCAATTCATGAATGTTTTGGAATTGAGTTACAAGCACTTGCCCCAAAGGTTGAAGTCATGCTTTCTTTATCTTGGTGCTTTTCCAGAAGATTATGAAATCTCTGTTAGGAAGTTGGTACGGATGTGGATTGCTGAGGGCTTCATTCAGCAACTGGAGGGAAAGAAGTTGGAGGATACTGCAGAGAAATATTTAATGAATCTTGTTGACAGAAGTCTAGTCATAGTTTCACGGAGAAGGTCAGATAATGGAATTAAGACATTTCTTGTCCATGATATGTTGAGAAACTTTTGTTTCAGGAAAGCCCAAGAAACAAATTTTGCGCTTCCAGATTATGGGTATCAAACATATTGTTCGTCTCCTTTTGTAAACTTCTCTTTGGACTACCAAAACTGCGAGAGTCTGACTGTGTTCAACTTCTTTCTAGGAAACACCATTGATTGTCTCATATTTGCTCCTACTTTAACAGTGTCCTGTAAACCAAATGTGTCATTCAAGTATAAACTTGTGAGAGTGTTGGATTTAAGGCATATAATGGAAGACAACTTTCCTCGGGGAGTCATTGAATTAATTCGTTTGAAGTACTTGGCTCTTTACCTTGGAGCACTGACCTGCCTACCACCAGTAATATCTACACTCCGGAACCTGGAAACCCTCATTGTTGATGTAGAGAAGGGCAGAAAAGTTACTTTACCTGATGATATCTGGAAGATGTTTAAGCTGAGACATCTACAGATTTCACCAGAATTTGAATTTGAAACCCCCTGGCCTAATTCTGCTGGTCCTAGCTTCTCATCGGACGAGGAACATAATCACCCAGGTCTCCATTTTTCCAGTCCTCTTGTACTTCATAATCTACAAACAGTTTCCTGGCTATGTCCTTTAGGTCCTAGCAGAGATATTCTTCTGGCAAGCATTCCCAATGTCAGAAATTTGGGATTTCATATCACTTTATCAAGCAGGGAGGATCCATTTAACTTCTTTGATCTTTCCGGTTTGAATGTGCTCGAAAAGTTGAAGTTTGAGTATCAGACCTATGGTATGGTGCCTGTTACCATTTCAAGTTCTGATAAGTTCCCATCAAGTTTGAAAAAGTTGACACTTGTTGGTAGCCATGTGAACTGGGAAGAAATGTCCATTATTGGGATGCTACCAAACTTGGAGGTTCTCAAGGTAAAAGATAACTTCTTCAATGGACCAAAGTGGGAAACATGCGAAGGTGGATTTCGACGTCTCAGGTTCTTGAAATTCTCACATATGGATCTTCAAGAATGGATTGCAACTGCTGATGACTTTCCTAGCCTTGAAAAATTAGTTCTAAATGGATGCCTGGCTCTCACTGGAATACCATCTGCATTTGGAGATAGTTGCACACTGCAGGTGATTGAGGTATATCGATCATCAGACACTGTCGCTGATACAGCCCGCCAAATTCAAGAATCACAGAGGAACTGGGGTAATGATGAGTTTAAGGTCTTCATTTACCGGCACTTTCAAGACAATATTTCTATGTGAAGAAGTTAATTTGAGAATCTGTTCATGCATTAACTACTTCCCTGGAGACAGAGCAAAGGTGGTCAATACATGGATGTGAACTGACTCAAGTCCAGTAACTGATGATCACATCAAAATACTGCTATATTGGATCAATCTGTTGCAGTTTTCTCAATTTTCTGGTGGAGCTAGAAGATCCTTGGGACCAAATAAACAACCAATTCTGAAACTTTGTTTGCTGAATTTTTTTTTTTTTTTTTTTTTTTAAAATTTCACTTCAGCTGTGCTACTGCATTAGCTGGATGTGGTCGTTTTGCATTTCAACATGGTTCATCATGTCACTTTGTCGTGATAAGTTGCATGAGGATTTATAGATTTTCTGTATAAGACTTGATTGGATGAAATTTTTTTTTTTTTTTGGAATTTCATTATCTGAAACATTTCCTGATAGTGAAGATCACATATGTACCACTGATGAAATAGTTTGCAATAAAATTATTTATGCTACCTGGTTAAGTTGAAAGTATTCAAATCCTTCCTCAACTTTTTTTATTAATTAAATTTGGCCTGAAGTATAAGCAATATTATTGACTGAATGCAGAAATTAAAAAATATTAACTCATATAGTAATGAACAAATAAATGCTAACAACAGTATTACAGAAATTATCCTATTTAGCATTTATTGGACTATGAGGGTATGGGCCGGCCATCCTGTTAGCATTTATTGGACTGTGAGAGAAGGCTGAATTGGACCAAGCCCTCTATTTTTAGGGATAAAGATGCATTTTACCCTGACTAACAGTCCAAAGAATTGTACGCAGCCATGGCACTAGTTCGGCTGCATATTAAACACCGAAAACATTAGAATTAATCAAAGATCGGTTAAAGCAAAACTAGGGAGATTGAATTGGTTTAACAATAGTTTTTGGGAATTTTGCCATTTCGATCCCTATTCAATTTCACTATAACCATTTTCGTTCTTCATGATTTATTTTAACTAATTTAATTTTTGAACAAGGCTTTTACTTTCAATATAGGACTTATGCAGCGGCACCGCCACAGTTTATGTATTTCGCTTGGCTAGGCAGGTCCATAATTTTCACAAGAGGCTAAACTTATGCAATTAACAGACAAAACAGATGAAACTTTTGCAATTTTGGTTGGATGAGAGGAGGGCAGTTCTTCTGGATCACAAGGATGGCAATTACAAACTTGCCTGGGATGGATTTCTTTCAAGGGTGACTTCTTTATTAATTTCTTCCGTCATTTCTTTCAAAGGTGAATTCCAAAAGTTGAAAAGTTTGAAGCCATATTTGGCCCCTAATTTGTGAATTCTGCTCACGATGATCTTTCTGACTGATCTTTGTCTATAATTCTTTTATATTTTTAGTTGAAAATAGCAAAGAGGGACCGAGAACGTACAATAATTGTTGTAAAAATGTACCTGAAATGAGGAAAGGACCAAAATCCCATAATTTTGAGCCCACGCCTTGAGACAAACACTCTATATGGAATGTGATGTACTGGACTTCCCACTAATTTGAAGGATTCAATGTGAACGGCTCGTTGCTGGCCTGGACGCGGGGCTGGAACGATTGTTCTGACAACGCTCCGGAAGGTGTAACACCATTTGTATATGGTGTAATATCATCTATACAAGATGTAACAATAGAACAACAGCGAGTAACACTAAAATAATATTTTTGTGGATCTCACACAACGTGAAAATCGAGTTATAAGACGTTATCTGAGCTGCACAAATTTTTGAGGCCTCATCCAGTCCGTGAACTGCCTGGGCCCCTCGTCCGGCTGGCCTTACCATCTTGGAAGGCTACAATCAAGTGCTTTCTTTATTTCAGGTATCAATTCCAACGTGACCACATTCTTCCCATCAATGACAGAAAGTCACCTGAGGGTGCAGCTGAGATTGCGAGGCCTTTCATCGGGATTTGGTTGATAGAAAGATCCTACTGTTGTCAGATGCTGCCGGGATTTGATCGTTCTAATCTGTTACAATTTGCTAATTGCAGAAATTTTAGTTCCTTACGATGATCATTACCCTGTACAGCCACGCGAAATATGTAAAATATGATGGTACTATCGCATATAAGTCCGACGTTGGAGGCGAGAAATTTGTTTGAGCACTAAATTGGTTAAAATAAATTATGAAGAACGAAATTGATTTTAATAAAAGTGTTTAGGAATCGAAATGGCAAGATTTCCTAATTTCATTTTTATTTTTATGATTCCATATTATCTTTTTTTTAAGTATTAAGACTAATTTTAAAAAAAGTTTAAACTTTAACTCGGCCAATTGAATCAATTGAACGAATCAACTATGAACCGGCGCTCATCTAGTTTATCCACCGGTTTGATTTTAAAAATATTGCTTTTAGTAAACTTCAATCTCAAACTCTCCCAACTGCTGCCACACCTACTCTATCACCCCCCCCCCCCCCGGAAAACCCCCATAACATATAGTTACTAAGATCTTTGTTATTACATTTGCTCACTGTGCCTCTTAAATATTAAATCAATAGTAAACAAGAAAATACTTGTTTCCTGTACTACTAACCCAAGTGCTCTACAAAAAATGCACAATCAGTTCTCTAAATAGAAACATAAAGAAATTATTTTTATTGTTTTATTTTAAAAAGAGACTCAACCTGACTGTGCCATGTATGTACGTAAGGAAATACCAAAAGATTAAATCATTAAATACATCTACTGATTTTCCACGATCTATAATGAACAATAAATTTTATTTAGTTCAAGACTTAGTAGTGTGTTTCAGCTAAGATATATTTTGTCATGAGTCATGACTAACACTGTATAGTATAGAAGCCCAAAAAAATACCATATAATTGGTTTTCAAAAATAAATGATTACAAATTAAGGTTCTGTTTGATAATCTAATTAAACACTTAAATTTAATGGATTCAGATTTTAACATATTCAAATGCATTTGATAGCAAAAAATTTAACATCTGAATTAATTAAGTGACACTGAATTTTCAAGCTAAATCTTGCTCTAAAAAATAAGTTGTAATCTATTCTCTTATCATTGAATATGATATATACTCAAATATATTAGATTTAGTACTTAACAATTCAATAACTTAATAAATTCAATTTTTAATTTTTAGATTTCAATTTTATCAAACGCACTCTAAATTGAAACCCCATATTCCATTGTGAATAAATTATAATCCAACATTTAATAACTAATTGTTAATGGAACTGCACTTTATTATGATAGCACTTTCGCTATCTTCTTATCACCATATAATCTCTTGCTACGAAAACAAGAGAATGAGAATAAGTTATAAAAATACTAGAGTGCCATTAACGTTTCCCTTAACAATTGCATATTACGATTAGACTAGTGGACAAAGCAAGCGTGGAGTTGGCACGGCCACCAGTCGACTAGCTCTTGGAGCGGCGAGTCCAAACACATCATTCGTATCAACATCACTCGGCTTCATCCCATCAGGCAGCTCCCACTGGAAACAGTGAAGAAGATGAGCCACAGCCATCTCCACAGCAAACAGCCCGAGTTGCATGCCTGGGCAAGACCTCCGGCCAGATCCAAAGGGTATAAACTCAAAGTTACTACCCTTATAATCAGGTGCACCATTGCTTAAAAATCTAGACGGCTTAAATGTGTCTGCGTCCTCCCCCCATGTGTCCTTGTTACGTCCAATTGCCCATACATTAACCATCACCCTTGATTTGGCAGGAATGTGGTAGCCGGCGACCTCGGAATCCTCCATAGTCTCATGAAGGAGGAGAGGGATCGGAGGGTGAAGTCTAAGCACTTCTTTGAAGCAGGACTTGAAGTAGGTTAGTTTGTTCATGTCAGATTCTTGGACTTTCCGGTGCAGGCCGACAACATTGGCTAGCTCTTCTTGCACCCTCTTGAGGTCATTCGGATTCTTTATTAGTTCGGTCATTATCCATTCGATTGCACTTCCAACGGTCTCTGTCCCTCCAAACATTGCATCCTGAAAATGATGAACATTGATGCTGCCAGGAAAGTTTGTAATAATAGTTTTGCTAACCCCGAAAATGAGGTTATCAATGTGCTATTTCTCATGAAAAACCAAACTAGGTTTTAAAAAAAAAAATGTTATTGAAAAATATACTTTGGAAAATAAATAAAATAAACTTATCCTTCTTGATTATATGAAGTATCTCTTATTGGAAAAATTGCTACTACCAACGCCTTGATCTTACCATGATGAGGGCTTTAACGTTGTTTTTCGTAAGCCTGAGTGACTTTTGTAAATTACCAGCTTCTGTGACTTTTCCCTCATCGTCACCCATAAAAGCTAGAAGCTCATCCACCATATCACCTTCAACCTGATCAAAAGAACCATTGACGTTCTTCTTTTTCTCCATATGATCCTCAGTGATGGAGTCAATGAATGCATCAAGTGAAGCACGAGAACTGATAAGTCTCTTGTTGAAGCCTTGTAGATCTGCCCACTTGAGCCAAGGAATGAAATCAGCCAGATTGAAAGCATTCAACAGGGTAGATATCTCTTGCAAAATCTGGATGAATTCATCTTGACGTTCAGGAGTTCTTGATCCAAAGGCAGCCCGATAAATAATTTTCCGAGATAGCCTGAAAAACAATTTACCAAGGTTAACGGGTAAGCCAGCCCTTGAGTCCAAAACTCGGATCATATCATCGACTTCATCTCTGACAGCGTCCCAAGACGCGGCCCTTTTACTGCTGAAAAGCTTCATGACACAAAGTTTTCTCATTTGACGCCACATCGGGCCATACTGCGCGAAGGCCATATCAGCCCGTTCATAAGTTAAATAACTTATGGCAATAGTGGCTGGGCGGTTTGAGAAGATGTTGTCTTGAACTTGAAGAACTTGTCGGGCAAGGTCCGGGCTAGAGACTACTACCGTGTTGAGAAAGGGCAGTTTTACACGAAAGATGCCACCATATTGGTTTGCTAGCTTTGCTAGTCCAATCTGAGATATCTGGTTTGCTATCATCATATTGCCGATGAAAGGCAACCCTTTTGGCCCTGGTGGATGGTTCTTACGGCGGAATCTTGATAAGAAATACAAGAAAACTAGAGTGACAATGGCGATGATTAGCATGGTTTCGGCATCTGAAATTTGACGAAGAAGATTCATTTTCTTTTCCATGAACATTGGTGTGTGCGTCTGGGGTGCCTCAGGGCAAAGCATATTTATATGTAGATGTTGCTAGAGATTACACTGAATATTGGGTTTTGGTTCAATTATTGCCATGTTTTTTTAAATATTTTTTTTGAATGGGGTGGGATTTAAAAAACGGTGAGAAGAGGAAGATTTGAACCAAGAATCCCTGCACCAGATCAAAACTTTCTCAACAATTATTGTCATATTTCTTTAAGGTGCTATACATGTTTCTTTACACGTTTATAATATTCATCATCCATTATTCAATTGATCTACACGAATAAAGTTTACATGTACGACAAATGTGCGGATACACCAGATCATATCGCAAATATATAATCAAACATGCATGGAAACTCTAACCATAAAATTGTTACACAGAGTCTAGGGGGTGCTCCTATGTTGTAGCATTTCTTAGTTGTTGGGTGGAGGGACATTCAAACAACTGTGAAAATTAGGAGCTTGCAACATACTGGAATTTTACTCCTCTACTCTGCTTATCTTTTCTGCGAAAACTCAAAGGATTCAAGCACGAAAATACTATGATAAACTGTTAAGCATACAAGTTCAGTACTCCATACCTGTCAATCATTAGGGTGCCAACCACATCAGAAATGTTTTGCTATGCAACATCCATGGGCATGGATTAATCCCATTAGATTCCATTTACTCTAAAATAATAATATGCCAAAACTTGCAAAGTTTTAATTGACGTTGTAAATGATCTCCGTTAGAATTTATGGAAGAAGGTGGTGTGGTAGAGATGATTGAGGGCACAGACGCAACGAAAGAAAAGTAAAATTGGAGTAGAAATCTACCTTTACAGTCACTTCTCTTTTGTGAATAAGTAAACATATAGAAACTGAAAAAAAATTTTCCTCATGTGAATGAGGAAACTTAATGAAGCTAAAACCTTTTCCTATATTCAATTATTCCTAAATCAAAAAAAAATCATTTTCTAAATTGGATTTGCCACACGGGTAAAATACTGGTGATAAATATCTTTTTTTTTTTTTTTGGAAAAATTATTGTTCTACTCCATATATTACGCTCTTGATGGCATTTAATCTGGTTTGGGATGTGCGAATTCTGTCTAAAGATTGCGTGTGTGGTCCTCTTCTCTGTATCACGGCATCACAAGTTCCATTTCAGACCAGTCAAGGTATGATGGTTCTTTTCTTTACACCACAGTACTACTAGTTAGCAAAACTTGGGCAGATCTGCTTGTATAGACCGCATGGCTAAATTTTGTCTCACGATCAATTCTTAAATTGGTGAGGTGAGGTGGTGTGACAAAATTTGGATCACAGAGTTTACATAAACTAGATCTACTCAAGTGTTTGCCCGCCCTAGCAGTTTATGCCCTACTTAAATTATTTATACCATTCCTGCGCCCATTTACACCTAGGGTAAACTGGTTCGAACTGAAACTTATGAGGTCTATGATCACTCTCCTCCACAGCCATCAGAACCATTGTATGATAGTGACAAATGCATTTTCTACCCCAAAAAAAAAAAAACACTTAAAATTGCAATGAAATATAGATTATATTAGTGCTTGAGTGATGTGCTATTTGGGAAAAGAAATCTTTGTCTAATGTATTGGCTTTTCTCTTTTTTGCTCTAATGTATTGGCCTATTGGAAGGATAATTCTTAGATCACAGGTGCTGTGAGTTTCAACCTCACAGTCACATACACCTATTGAGGGTCAATTACAATTTATCCCTCTAAGATATACTCTAATCCTAATCTTTATTTTGTATTAATTAACTTCCTAAGAGACAAAAATACCCTTCTACTACGCTTTTTTGAGAAAAAAAAAATCCTACCAATTTTTACTTTTATAAAGTACCTTTTTTTTGACAAAAAAAGAAAAAGAGAGATGGAGCAAATTAGGACCAATCCTAAAAATGAAAATATTGCACGTGTCGAAGATTTGAAATCAAAGCATCAAGAAATAATTTGAGAATGTAGATGAAGCTTAATTGCACCAATCCCTCCGTAGTTAGAGGTATATTGTATTTTATACTGACTAATAGTCCAATCAATATGTCTTTGTATTGGGGAAAAACCAAAAAAAAAAAAAAAGAATTTCTAAACAGTGGCCATTGATTTCTCTATGCTTTTAACCAGTGTTTTCAAATCCCGGATGGGAAACAGATGCTTTGACGGGTGGGACTGGGATTGGCAATGGCGATAGGCCTGTCAATTGGGTTGAATTGACCGGGCGGCTCTAAATTTAGCGGATTAATTCTTTATGCAATGTGAGTTAAGCTAAGCATGGATCAAAATATTTTGCCTAATTTAAATATAAGCTAAATTTAGGTTGCACTGAACTCAACCTACTTAATACTCAACATGAACTATATGTAGACCAGTGCTTATATGTAGGAACTAAGAAGATTTTTTTTTTTATCTAAATTCATTCTGATAATTACAATTTAGATGGCTAATTCTATGATAAATTGTTCTTTTTCAATTTCGAGTTGAGAGATTTATGAATATTATGGTAAATTACATTTATTTTTTGTCATGAAATTCAAACTTTTATTGATATTGCAACTTTTCTAGGCAGTATAGAATACATATGGATTAGCTAGTTGATTGGTTTAATTAGATTTTGTCAATGTGAAAAGCATATGATGTAAATTTTTTTGGCCCTGCCCGAATTAGGTCCAATATCCAACTTTTTTTCTAAGCTGAGCAGGAGCCACAAAAAGAATGAACCAGTTGAAGCCATTAACTGTGAACTGGAGCTCATATGGTTTATCCGGCCACTGATCTGATTTTAAAAACATTTTGCTTTTAGCAAACTTCAACTCAAGTTCTCCCAACTATTACCAACCCTACTCAAATCCCCCTCAAACATGGTTACTAAAATTTTTGTTATTAAATTTGCACATTATGCCTCCTAAATATACATTCTATAGTAAACAAGAAAGAACTAGATTCCCGTACTGCTAACCTGAGTGCTCCACCAAAAATGCACATTCAGTTCTTTATATAGAAACATAAAGATTTTGACTATGAGTTTAATAAGCAAATGAACCATTATTATGTTCAGTCACCTTGAGCTTGAGGCATTAACTACTCTTATAGCTCTTAATGGACTCAGCTGGGTGATTTCTAGAGCCACAGAAAACGAGTATCATATAAGAGACTAAAGGTCTTAACTTGTCCAAAGCATGAATTGTATCTTCAATCCATCCCTGCAGGTACCTGTATATTATATACATGCCTTTCAGTAGCATGTTCAAGATACTTCGACTTTTCAGCATTGGATTCTGGAATTATGACCTAATGACAGCTGCGAGCAGGAAACTTGTGTCGCAACTCACAATGAGCCACAAAGAAAATTGTTGGAGCAAATTTTAGGTACTGTTTCTGGTGATAAAGACTCTGGTTACGGTGTCAAGGTTCAGGAATTGGGAGAAAGGTTGAATGAATTATTGAAGGGAAAGAGATATTTAATTGTCATTTATCAGAGATTTGATTTTGGGATCTGGGTTGATTTGAAGAAGTATTTTCCAAATGATGTCAATGGTAGCAAAATTTTTGTGTTCCGTCCTTGTAGCTGTCCTGATTCTCAAAATGAGGAGGATGGATGGAATCCATTAGCATCAGAGTTGCACTAGACACATGTACATGCAAAAACAAGGGTAGATCACTTCTGCAGAAAAATGAGAAATGTTGCTTGCGAACTATTTCAATCTCCAGAGCTTGTTGTTTTGGCAGGAAAAATTAGCTCTATGAAGAAAGAGATTATGCAAGTTTATGTGGATGGCTTCCCTGATGTCAGAAGACTAGATGGAAAATTTGAGTCGGAGAATTTGGAGAGGAAGAGCAGTAGCTCCATCAAAGGAGAAGAAATAATTGTAGGTTTTGATGATGAGGCACGGGTACAGCTCGAGAGGCTAACAGGACAAAACAAAAAACTCAAAAGTTATCTCAATTGTTGGAATGGCAGGTATTGGTAAGACAACCATGGCTAAAAGACTGTACAAACATCCACTCATTGTTTATCACTTCCACGTTCGTGCATGGGCATTTGTCTCTCAAGTGTAACAAAAAGGTAATGTGTTGCAAAAAATCTTACTTCATTTGATCCGTGATAAAGAATCCCTACGTAACATGAGTGATGAGGCAATGGGAGAAAAGTTATACAAATGCTTGAAAGGCAAAACATATTTAATTGTCGTTGATGATATATGCGGTATGGAGGTCTGGAATGATCTGAAGTACTTTCCAAATGACGAAAATGGCAGTAAAATTTTAATGACAAGTCGAATAACAAACGTGGCTGGGAATCCTAGAAATGGTAGTCCCACGTATTATCTGCGATTTCTCAGTCAAGATGAAAGCTAGGATCTATTTGAGCGCAAAGTATTCCCTAATGGCAGCTGCCCTCAGGACTTAATGGAAATGGGAAAGAACATTGTAGCAAAATGCAAAGGATTGCCTCTTGCAATTGTGGCTGTATCTGGATTGATTTCGAAGAAAGAAAAGACGCGTGAATGGGGGTGGTGTATTGCTCAAAATATTGATTTGTACATTGATATGATACAGAGCAGTTCATGAATGTTTTAGAGTTAAGTTATAAACACTTGCCTCAGAGGTTGAAATCATGCTTTTTTTACCTTGGAGCATTTCCGGAAGACTATAAAATCTCTGTGAGGAGATTGATTCGACTTTGGATTGCTGAGGGCTTTATTCAACGAACTGAGGAAAAGAGGTTGGAGGATGTCACAGGAGTTAGAGTTTGAAACCACATGGTCCAATTTTGCTAGTTTTGGATTTGCCGAAGCCCCTGTGCTTCATAATTTGCAGACAATCTCCCAGCTATCTACTTCAGGTTTTCTCCTGGATCTGTTGTCAAGAATTCCTAAATGTTAGAAGTTCGGGATTTCATGCCACTTTATCAAACAGTGAGGACCCTTTTTCTTTGCACGATCTTGCAAATTTATATATGCTTGAAACACTGAAATTTGAATATCAGACTTTTGGTATGGTGCCTGTAAGCATTTACCATCCTGACAAGTTCCCATCAAGTTTGAAAAAGTTGACTCTCATTTGGCAGCCATGTAAATTGGGAAGAGATGCCCATTATTGGTTTGCTACCTAACTTGGAGGTTCTCAGAGTAAAAGAGAATTTCTTCAGTGGACCAAAGTGGGAAACATGTGAAGGTGGTTTTCTGCATCTTAAGTTCTTGAAACTGTCACATATGGATCTTCAGGAGTGGATTGCCTCTGCTGATAACTTCCCTAGCCTTGAAACAATAGTGCTAAATGGATGTCCGGATCTTGCTGAAATACCATCTGCAATTGGATATATTTGCACATTGCAACTCATTGAGGTATGTATCGCTCATCAAAATCTGCTGTTGATTCAGCACTGCAAATAGAGGAATCACAGAGAGGCTGGGGCAATGATGACTTGAAGGTCCTCAGTCACCCAGCCAACTGAGTCATCATACAGCCAAATGAGTATGCCTTCCACGCTACATCTTTTACTATTACATCTAAATAGTTTTCAACATTTGGTATCACTAATTCAGCTAGATTTATGAATTACAGGAAAAAAGATTCATCTGCATGGCCCCCTGAAGATCAAATTAGGTACCCTGTCAAGTATCAAAGGTCCTGAAAGGAGTTAGAATAGCTTAGAGCCCTCCCATGCTTTGAAATTTGATCAACAAGAAATTCTGGACCTCTGCTTGTAGATTTTGTTTTATGCTTACTTTTTTGCTTTTTTTTTAAATGTAATATGAAAATCCTCTCCTTTTTCTTGCACCTTATTCCGTAATTAACTTTTCCATATTAATTCAAGGTCAATCACTAGGTAATGATGTGACATCCTGAAGAATACCAAAAATATCATTCTGTTCAGCTAAGCATATGTTCATGCATTCAGTTACGAGACTTCCGAAAATCTGCATATTCAAATGGGCATATATTCCTTGCAATCTTCTTACTGCAGAAAGTTGAATAACGTAATTAATGAACTGAAGCATCTGTTAGAGACAGCATAATTAAGCTGAGGAGGAATTAGGATTAAAAAGCTCAAATTCAACCCTTAACACTTAATCCCTGTACATTAGCAAATTGTCACAAAATTATGAATTCAGAAGAAATAATTATGACTTCGTATTACAAAAGAGAAGATGACTCGTCAAAGTTTCAAATTTAGATCAGGTGTTGATGAGTCTGTTCTAGGCGGTGGTGCCACTGCTACAAAATTGATGCTGGAACTTTGCCCAGAATTCAAAGCCAGACTGCTGGCAACTCCTTCAACTTGTCGGAAACTGCCAGGCCAGTACATTTCTACTTCATCATCTTCCATATACACTGGCATACCAAAATAACCTTGTTCAAACTTTGCTCCGCCTCTTATTGCATGGAGAGGCCTATCTGATGACATAATTGGTTGGTGCACCGAAGCATGAGCTTCAATGCCCAAGGACCGAAATGCAGATCCATGAAGGGGAAGAGATGCCAAGCTGGCATAGCGATCTGATAACATATTCATCCGCATGGCCCTCTTTGCAAGTGTCCTCTCCCTCTTGTGTGCATTTTGATGACCGCCTAATGCCTGCGAGCTATAGAACTTGCGCCTACAATAGTTACAGGAGAATACCCTGGACACTCCTGGAGTTGGAGGATGGGGAAATACTTCACCATTATTCTCACCAACACCCTTTGAATCAGTATCACTGCTGTTGAAGCCAAGAGTCAAGTCAAGAGTAACTGGCCTTGGATCCCTTTCTAGATCAAGTGAGTGTGTGAGAGACGGTGAAGAAGTAATGCTCTCCTTCGAAGGACCAGGAGAGACTTCTTGGGTGGATATGTTGGAGGCAACTTGACTGCTCACCTCAGAATCCTCTTCAGATTCAAGGTTAATAGTTGGCGCCTTCATTTTGGGGTAGAGCACTGAAGTACAAAGGAGTCCCTTGTCTAGTAATAGATCTTGTTACCACTCACAACTAATGCTTCTTGTTTATGAACCTGAAAGTATTGTGCCATAGTTATTACAAAAAAGTATTTCCGAAAGCAGCACACACATATATGCACTAACAGAAACATAGAGGAGGAGCAAGGACGACCATCTCTAACTTATTTGGAAACACACATGGTGATAGAGTTAAAAGCAGTTGTATTGATTAAGGCAATTTGAGATGACGTTCCTGGACAAAACAGTGTCGGCAACCCCAAATAAATAGGTAAGAAGGTGCACACAAGGAGTAATGTTAATTCATAATTTTCAGATTGCAAAGCATTGTGAATTTTAGTAGCTTGGTAAAAGAGTACAAGCACATTAAACCTCCTGACAGGCTGTAAGCTTCAGTGTTACCTTTCTTACCCATTTCTATGGGTCGCAAAAACTACTTTTACAGGATTTTGTAGCAAATGTAGATTGCGCAAATGGTCATTCCTCGTGTTATCATTCAGGTTTAAATAGGCTAGGCTAGACACACTTCCCTAATTCAGACTTTCTACATAAGCCAAGGAGGTTAGACAGTACATCTGCCAAATGCAAGCTGGTATCGGTCCATGACAAACCTCCAAACCCCAACAAACTCAAGGTGACTTTCCAACAAAATGATGTTTATTAGAAACTAAAAAAATTAACAAAAAATTAAAAAAATCAGAGGCAGCTAAATTCCATGAGACATAACACTAAGCCGAGAAACTAAATTGGTTGATGGAACCATCCTATTTCCTTTGGGCAACTAGACAAGCTTAACCAGGTAGGACACAAACAATTCTCAATTGAAAGACCACAAAGAATGTAAATCAGTAGGCATACATCATTTGTAACCATCAGAGTCACAGTTAACTCCCATAGAAAAAGCAGGAATAGAGGGCGATCACAAATACTCGTTACTTCAGCTACGAACACAGCAGGTGCATCTAAATATCATTTAAAACCCAAATGCATCTTCATGGTGGGGACTCCAATACATTCTGAACGTATACACTTGTACTCTTCTGATGAAAAACAAGCTTTCAGGACAATGGATTCTCTTTAGGAACATCAAATGGAAAACCACTTGTCCCCTATCTCACATAATAGTTACCAGGAGAATGTATATGCTATTTACACTTCTTATCTTACAGTACTATAAAGCCAATAGTTCTGCAAATGGTCATAGAACATGCAGCTACTTCATTGGACAAGCCAACGAAAAATTCTCCTTATAGTGTTCCTCATAAGATGGCTAAACAAGTTTCCACAACAAGGAACAAGAAACATCAATGTCGAGCCCTTTTTTTTTTTGGGCTTTTTTTTTGGGGGGGGGGGGTGCTGCTTCATGATGGGTAACGTAGATATGATCCTATCCTATAAAATCTTCAACTTAAACAAGATGATACAGCAGTTCAGATGGTCAAATTACACATATACCAGTTCCTATCAATGTCTTAGTTCTCTCTTTTAGCAAGTGTTTACTTCTCACCTATACATTTTCAAGAAGTTAAGGCCTTAGAAATAGATTTCTAGACCCAATGTAAATTAACATAAACGGATGAACGTCATTGGATGGTAACTAATGCAATTCAAGATCAATAAAGAAACTGCCAGATAGATATCAACATTTTTTTATGACAAAGTTCCTATCTATTAATTTTATGGAACAAGGTCACCATCTCAATTATGTCGCAGGCAGAACACAGCCAGCAGTATCCAAGACTTTCTGATATCATTCTTGCTTATCTTCTTTAGCATGGCTTTTAATGTTCTAGAAAAAGTACATGGTCAATCACTCTGGTTCTTAGATGCAAGTTACTTGCAAATTATTTGCCACTTAGTTAATAATAACATCTTCCACTGAGCGAACTGTAGTCAATGGAAAAGCACAGAACTACATTCAAACCGCAAAATGGAAGACTAATGGCATTTTTAGTATCATGAAACTAAAAGACGTGAGATTAATTCTGTATACCGGCTTCCGTATACCGTGGATTTCAAAATTTCAAAATGAAGCTTATACCTGAATGACCACGTCAAAGCCAAATAGTAAGCCAGCATATGTAGCACCCTGTCTTCTCTAGCACCTGTGTGCCTGATTTCAACATCATGACGAAATTCAATTCATCAAATCCCCATTAGGTTCCTTAAAAATGATAGAATGTTAGGAAGCAATAATTTGTTTGGGTTTATTGAAGCATATGTTGAATGAAGCCCCAGTCTGAGTGTTTCCTGCATTCCCAGATTCAAAATCCTTTCTGTTTTCTATTATGAAATTCCATAGAAACAAAGTATATAGGTAATCGAATTAATATACAGCAACAACATGAAGGAGAGAAACGATAATGAAAAAAAGATTTCCAAAGTATTTCTTTCTTTATCCTTGGTTAAGACAAACCTATTCAAAAATCATGGATTTTAAGAATCAACGCATCCATTTCAATCACGCAGTTACCAAAACCAGGTGCAAGAAAGAGACGTATGTATATTGCTTGCTCTTCTCTTCTCATTTTCATACCAAAACATTCATAAATTGATTAGATTCCCTTTGTGGTACTAAGGATCCATGTGGATTTTTAGTACATTTTCTGCATAATTACGCCTTTGGTAAAGATTAATTGTCACTACAATTAATCACTCAGTCAGTCATGGTCAAAGCCCACATGAGAACTCTTAAATCATCAGCTAAGAAATATCTAGTCAAGAGTAACTCACTTATCATGGCATAAGAACCCTCATATGACACACAATAAAAAGGAGTAAAGCAGATTAAGTAAAAATAGATAGCAAGAATTGCTTCAACAAACCAAAATGGTAGTGGCCACTTAATATCTTTTTGAAAGCCAAAATCTGTTTTGCTTTAGCTCACAATTTACCATCTAAACTTTGATGGATGCTCCCTAATATCTCAGGACTGCTCTAAACTTCCCACCAGATTATACACCCAAACTTTCTTTCATTTGGTTAATCTAACAATTTTTTCATCAGAAAGGAGTTTCACTCAGAAGAATATATGTGCCCACTGAATAGTAGGTTAAAACCTCCATGTCATTTGACTCTAAATAGCACAGCTCTGTCTAATTCTAATGTCATTCTAAAGTTTACTAATTCAGTTTGGAAATATTTTGCAGCCTTTGCAATTCTAGATAAGTTTTATATTCTGATTACAATGCAAAAGAAGAAAATGAAAATTTTGATGGAAAAACAATGGGACAAGCACACAAATAAAATTTTGACTTGTAAGTCCATGTATGCTAGTTTTTTTGGTATCCAAAACAGAAAATGGGCAACCATCATAGTCCCTCCATTGACCCAGAACTAATAAACCACAGGAGATACAAAGGAACTGGTGAACTATTTCTAGAACACAACCTTGTGACAATAGCTATGAGCAACAAACAGATTAACCAAATAGTAGTATAATGGTTCTACCATCCAACAGAGGAGACAAAAAGTATCCAGAAACACCAATAAGTAGCATGTGACCCAATATAAACACCAGGTCAGCCTGCCTAAGCAAAGAGCCTCAGATCTAATATATCACTCAGTAAATATGTTTCTTGTATTTTAAAATTTTGAAAATATTAATTTTCTTCTAGGCATATGAAAGAAAAGACTCCAACCCTTCAATAATTAGGGGCCATAGCAAAGGATATTCTATGAATACTACAAATAAGCATCCTCATCAGAGCTGAAGTTTAACCAAACAACATAGACAACGAGAAAACACAAGGTTGGATAGAGCATCATTTAGTAGAACATCATATAAGGTTATGCAGAACATCTTCAGGTCATATGTCAAGAAACATGGAAGACTTAAATCATCAAACTGGAACATATCAAGAAAAAAGTGATAAAAGCCAAATCCCGTGTTAATACACCTTTGTTTTATGAAGAAACAAAATTCCAGATAATCAAGAGCCCACAAAAACCAGCCAAAGATTTCAACAGGCACATGAAAAAAAAAAACTAGATCATATATCACTAATCATCTACCCAAAAAGTAAGCGTACTAACATCCAAAATCTAGCCTGCAGCATAAAAAAGGAAGTAAGACACTGCATACCTCAAGAGTTTGCCAAAAGCAGCAGGCTTCAGCAACTCTGATGACAAGACAGGCAGAAAGCTTTCAAGTTCTGTAGTTTTTACCAAATACGGTGAGAACAAGGGGAGAAGAAGAAGAAAAGATAACAAACACGGCAGTAGATGGAGATAAGATCATGAATGAGAGAGAGAAAGAAGGAGAGAGAAGGTGGTGGGACGTCAGATAAGTCAGAAGAAAAGCAGAAAACAGACTTGACACATTTTTGTTGGTTCTTTCTTTAACTACTGTAGTACTACTACTGATGCAGTCGCACACTACAAGACAGAGAGAGAAAAGGGCAAAGGACACCATACATTGTGTAAGTCCCACAAAAACTGATGCTGTGCTACTACTAGAACAATAAAGGGTGTCTGTTTCTGTACTCTCTCTGTACTGCTTTTCCTCTCTCATCGATCATCTTCCCCCCTCAAAAAAGGCAAAAAAAATAAAAAAGGAAAACCAAAAAGAAAAAAAAAAGAAAAAAAATCTAAAAAGTTGTCTTTAGATTCTGTTCAGGGTTTTTCTACCAAATTGCTTTTTTTAGCAACTTGACTGGACACCCATAACAATTCCCATGCCCACCTCCATTCCACACTGCCTTTTACATGAATTGACAAGCACATCTAGTCTTCTTTCTAGCATACAGTAATGGGTTCATATCTTGAAAAATTTTCTGTTCCAAGTACAAGAGATAATGTAGATCCAAGTCAGTGAATGTAAGTACCATGTATCACATATAAAAAATTAAAAATGAAGGGTATTGTTTATTTGTATAATTAAATATTCATTGAACACTCGTTAAAATAAATAATGTGTTTGGACAAAGTATTATTTGAAATATTATTTAAAATAATTATTGTATTACTTTTTATGATATAATGTATGTGAGATAAAAAATAATTAAAAATATAAAAAAGTGGATTGAAAAATATGTTTATGATATAAACGAAATATTATTTGAAATAATTCAATCATCCAAAAACACTCAAAATTTAGTATTAATTTTTGAGTAAATTTTATATACACTGACAGTGCATACACTATTACCGTTGGATTCATGATACATGTACAAAAATTAAATTTTAAATTCAAATTTTAGATAGTTGTCATTCATCCAATACTGACAGTGTATACACTATCGGTGTAGGAAATATTAATCCTTAATTTTTTAGAAGATTATGGAATGCAACAGAAATCAATAGCTATAATTGTGTATATTTACACAATAATTATGTCTAATTTAAGTGTAATAACGAGTGTATCCATTAAGAACATGGCAATAACCACCAAGACCGGTCCTTAAGGTTTAGTAGGGTAGAAGGTCAAGGTGTCAAACCTTACCTTCCACCATTTGCTACATTAAGCGGCTCTATTAAAAAATTTAGACGGATGTGTAGTACACTCGTCTGGCACCCGTTCCCACCGCCCCGTAGACCTAATTAGACCTCCCCTAATTAAATTAGAATAAAGTAGGATATAGATAAAAATGAGTGACCAAAGAAAAATTAAGAACATGGCAGTTCTAAAATGGAAAGAAGATATTATTGTGGTTTAGTGCTATTGCAATGACAATAATTGTGCAGAGTATCATCGTTACTAATGTCTAAACATGCCACATTTTCACCATCTAGTCATGCCATTAGGCTACCAGACAATGGACATGGTCCACAGCCACTAACTCAAAATATGCTGGCCCCTGAGAAAAGCTGTGTCGAATCTGTCACAAGATTTTAGTCCCCAGTTTAACTAAACTAAGTGATGAAAAAGAGCTGATCCCAGGTGTCTGTCCAATTAATATTCGTTGGTTTGTACTAGATATTAAGCTTTAAAGTTTATAAATTGTTTCAAGAAAACGAAATTTGGTTGACGTCTTAGTCTTTTGATAGTAAAAGACAACTTGCATTGATTATTTAAGGCAGTCCAATAAATATAAAATCTAGTATTTATGATTATTGGAGTTATTCCCTACCATTTATTTGAGCCCTGAAATACAATACTTGGAGGTTTTGTTCATTAAACAAGAATTTATGTTAACCTAATACCTTTTCTTCTAATTTAGTTAGTTTTGATTTTCAACATAGGGAGTATTCCAACTTTTGTTTGACGAATCTCCCTGCGCCTATGTACCCCGCCCCCAAGGATACACAAGCGATAGAGAGGTGACTTGAACACGCGACCAATCTCGAGATCTAACTAGACTACTCCGAAATCATCCGAGCCAACCCCAAGGGGCTCGGATTTATGTTAGTTAGTTGATAGTGAGGATTTATGTTAACCTAAAATTGGGTGAAGAAACCTAGGATAAGAATATAGCACCTAAACTGGAAGAATCTATCAGTTTATTACTGTTTCATTTTCTAGTTGTATGCAAAAACTAATGGAGTATACAGGCCACGGAAATTGTAATCCGTGTAGAACTTGAGTTGCACCTGCACGCTCATTCCTTGAATGGTCAATTATTTATTGATGCAATGAATGGCTGATTGGACCTGCATTTGCATTTAAGAATGTACTTGCATGTGTTTTATGAACATATACAAAGTACAAAAGAATTTGCAATTGCTAAGAATCTTGATCCTACACTAATTTGTGAAAGAAGTGGGTGTATTGGTGTCAAGTAGTAATTGAGCATAAAGATGTCAGGAGGAATGTGAGTAAATATATGTTAAGACTACCTTTAGGTTAAGCTGAGGTAAAACAACTCAGATCATTTATTGTACACCATGACCTGCAGAAATTCATTCAAGCAGTTAGTTGAATCTAGACAATGTTAAAAAAAAAAAAATTGTAGTATATCTTAGAAAAATCATCAATGATATGAATTAATGTTATATAACAAGAAGGATAAATTTTCAGTGATAAAACTGAAAGAAAACAACATAGGAAACGTTAGGATAAGATAATCAAGGCTAATATAATAACCAAGTTTACTCAAATTATATTGCACCAAATTAATCAATTGATAAGTAGTTTTGAGTTTCTTTTGACGGAGTAACGGCTATTTTAAGAGATAGAGCGGTTTTAAATGATTGACAACAGCTTTTACGTATTCTTAGATTAACGATATCTATAAATTATGTTGGACGATTTCTACTAATCTTGTAAATAATGACTTCTTTGCTCTACTTTTAGAAAAAATTATTCTCAAATTTCAAGAGAACTCATAAAATCTAAAACAAAGTAGAGTGTGTTGTTTCCTGTTTCTGAGGAACTCATAAAAACAAGTTTCAAGAACAACAACAACAGAGAGGACCAAATTTAGAAAAAAAAAAAAAATACTCCCAATTAGAAGACTTTACCTATGCATCATGCACATTGCCATATGGTACTATGTTCACACAATAATCAAAGTGGTAGTCCCAATTAGAGCCGACAGCTTCATGTTCGCAAAACAATTCAAAAGCAGCCACACCCACAAGACTCGAGGCACAAACCCATTGGTTCACCACTTTAATTTTTTGATTCTTTCTCTTTCATTTACAATTTCTTTTTCAGGAGATTAAAGTAATGATAAGAATGGTTACATGAGAAGATTATTTTAGCCATAGGACTGACCAAATCAGATTTGGAGAAGATCTCTTCCCAACTTCTGTTTTTGTTTTCTAGCTTTTCTTTATGTCCCAATTGCACATTTTATATTACTTCTCTTGCTTTCATTATTGTAGGTTCCTTTGTTACATCTGTTAATTAATAAACTAACTTGTGGGAGGAATGTTCATCTGCTTGGAGCCACTAACCTCTATTTAATATACGTTTATGTTCACTATAATTTTGATTTTGACCTCTTCTTTGTTTGAATTTATAAAACATTCCGTACTATATAAGTTCTTTGTTTATTTAGTTTCTTAAGCCATGCATTGGAGCTATGTTAGTACTTTTCTATGTAATGTAAGTATAATATGTGCATACAAAAGAGTAGGCCCCATTTGACAAGTAAGGTTTTTGGGTATTTATCTAAAATTTTACTACAACTTATTGTAAAAATTTTTAAAAAAAATTTTGAAGTGTGTTTTTTTGAATATTTTGAAGTATATTGTTTAAAAATTTTGAAAATTTTTTTGAGGTTACCGTAATTAAAGTTTTTAAAAAATTTGTAGCAGATAAACTTGGCAAAAAAGTTGTCTGCCAAACAAGGCCTAAGTATGTGATTCCTTAAGTATCTACTTTTTTTTAATGTCCTAGAGTGGTTTTTGTAAATTGGATATAAGAGGTTGAGATGTACATTTGAATTGTAAATGACCTTTATGATCTCTAATTTTCCTAGTTTGTAAGGTAGCGCTATAGGTATAAAAGGAAATTTTTCTACAACCTTGTGAAAAGAGGAGGAGAAATAAATGTCTCAAAACCTACTTTTAAGAGTGTTAATCAATTTCCATCTTTTTGTCAAGTTTGTTTGTTACAAGTTTTTTAAAAACTTTAGCTACAGTAACCACAAAAAATTTCTCAAAGTTTTAAACTATACACTTCAAAATATTCAAAAATCTACACATTTCAAAAATTTTTTTAAAAACTTTTACAGTAAGTTACAATAAAATTTTAAACAAACTCCTAAAAAACTCACCTTCCAAACAGGGCCATTATACTTTCATAAACTTAACCGTGAGTTTTTCAATGTTTAGCATAAATTCATGTCATGAAGTTGTGATTCTTTGAGTATCTGCTTGTTGGCATTAGGGCTGCAAACGAATCAAATCGCTCGCGAGCGGCTCGAGTCGAGCTCGAACTCGAACTAAAAATATTAAGCTCGTTAGCTCGCAAGCCGAGCTTGAGTATATATATATATATTTTTTTTTATTTTTATTTAATAACAAAATTACGTATATTATATATATAATTTTTTATTATTTATTTTTATAGTAAAATTACGTATATATCCTTAATATTTTATTATTTATTCAGAAAAAAATATTATTTTATTTATTTTTTTAAAAATAATTTTTTTATTTTTTATTTTTTTTCGAGCTCAAACTCGGCTCGACTTGATTCGAGTCAAGCTCGAGCTCGAAAATTGCCGGCTCGTCGAGCTCGAGCTCGAGTTTGATAAAATTTAGTCGAGACTCGACTCGATTAGCTCAAAGCTCGACTCGTTTGCAGCCCTAATTGGCATTCTATAAATTGAATAGTTTTCCAAGTTTGCAATGGTCGATAAAGCTGAAGATGTAAAAGAAAGTCTTTGTAATTGTACCTACTGATATTCCTACTCGTGAAGAGAAGAAGAAAAAAATGCCTGAAAACCTATTTTATAAGAGTATTGATCAACATCCTTCTATTCCATCAATAATATTATAGTCTTGGGTAACTTAACCATGAATTTGTCAATCT